AAATAATGAAAAGTCTTTATACTATAGAATACTAGTTGATTCGTTGCTATTATATACTTTTAATACTTATTAACTATCAGAAAAATTCTATTAACTATTATAAGATAATTCAAAATACTAACTCGAACCTGTAACAACGCTAATATGTATAAGATTTTTTTAAAAGTCAATAATTAATCAATAATATAATACATTATTAATATAAACATACCAGGGGCCTGCGAGCCCCCGGACCCCCCTGCTTTTTAAGAAAGTGTAATTCAATTATAATTATTACTAAGGAGATAAACCTCCAATAAATGATTCCAAAAAATTAATAATTTTGAAATACAAAAATATGTAAGATCAATTGGGATACAATATTTATTGAATATATTAACAGTTATCTATTTATATTAATAGAAGTTCATAATATCTTTAACTTCTTTGGAAATCACTTCATATGAATATGACCGTCGAAACATAGGTATTATCACATAGTGAATTAAATAATAAAAAGTATTTCTGAGTATGATTGATTAAAAGATTTGTTTCTAAAAAAAGAAAGAGAGAGATAGAAAATGCTCAGAAATTCCATATATCTGATTAAAATAAATATAGAGAACGAATTATCAAATTGAGTTAAGCATTCCAATATTTGTACTTTAGCACATTATCTAAAACTGACAACTGATTGGCCTTGAAAGTATATAATATATATAGGAATATCAAAATATAGAATTCAATTGAATCAACAAATTAATAAAAAATGCGAGATTTATAAATTCAAGGGGTGTGATAAGAGAAATAAGAAATTTAGTTATTGCTTTAATTTTATTGTTTCAATTTCATTGGTCTAAAGATTTGCAGATTTGCAGATTTTAATGTTCATAGATTCATTAGAAATTGAATAAGTTTATTGATAGACTTATTTGCAGGACTATTCGTAGATTTATTGAAATCTCTATTAGTTGATTTTTTAGTGTATACATACATTACTGAATTTATTCGCAGTTTTATTCAGAACTCTACTCACTGACCTATTGATAGATTTATCATAAGACTTGAGAAAAGATTCATTAGACTCATTAAATTTGCAGGATTTTAAGCTTAATAATGCCTCTGGGGCTTCTATTCGAGTCAGAATCGAGAGGCAAACGAAGTATATATTCAAATCAGATTTATTAGATTTATTAGACTTATAAGTTTTGGGGCTTGATAGCACCTTCGACGCCCCTGTCCGAGCGCACAATGAAAGGCAAACAAAGTGTATGAATTGTTATAAAATTTGTGACTATTAATTACCAGTTTTAATTGTTATTGATAATCATTAGATATCAATTGTTAAAAGTTTGTTGAAGGTTGAGATCAGATTTGCTTCATTTAAAGATTTAAGGCTTTCCGAAAGTGTGCTTCACATATTAACTCAAACTTTTTCAAAATTATTAAAATGGTAAAGATTAATTTTGAATTCAGTCTTCAAAAACTATGTAATACAAATATGAGTATAAATCTTAACTGGTATTAATAATAATCAGAAACGCATTAATAAACTCATTATTTTAATTTGTTATCAAGGGCCGGGAAAAAGATCGTAATATGTATTATAGAGTTCAGTATAACAACTATTTGATTATCCAATACACCTGATGCTCTGAGTACACTTCCTTCTACATATGAAATTGCAGTTGTAATGCATAGTACAGTTAATTCGACCACGATTTCTGTGATAATCACTATAGTCATTGTCATAATGACAACAGTCATGATATTGTTGATGATGATGATGACCAACGATCAACAATAAACAAGCCATATATAGATTTACATGCCTACTAATATTCATCGAATTGAGGCTATCATTTCAGATGCCAATTTACTAAAAACTATAAAGTTCCCCCTTAATCATTTAGTATCTAAATTCAAATATTCTGCTCAAATTCGTTTTCTTACATCCTTAGTTTTTCTAGATTCTGATAATAAACTCATAGTATTATTTATACATATTTTTGTTCTTCTATTAACATTTTTTGTAATGCATTATACATATGAGATTTTATTCTCTTATTTCTAGTCATTTCTTTATTATCATTCTGATGACTTTTTAATTCTTTTTAAATCTTTTAAATATTATTTAATCAGTTTTCCTAAACTTTCTCATGAATTAGGTTTTCTGTCTTTGGAGCTCATTAATAAGATTTATCCATTAATAATGAATAATATATATCTATAATCATAATCTTTGAAGCCTATACATATTATCCTTTTTCCTAAAATTATTGTTTTGAATCTTCTTCAACTCTTGATAATCACATATATCGCAGGATAAGATTACTTTATTGTTATTCAATGAATTTCTGATTAAATCAAAGTTCAAAAATCTACGGTAATAGCCCCATATAATAGCATTCCATGTATTAGTACCTCAAATATCGGAATTTATGACTGGTACCGTCTTAATTAGCATTTTGATATCCTAGTCTTTACTCTTGTTTGCAATAGTACTATTCTAGTCCTTATTTGATAATCGAAAATTATTGAAATTCAAAAATTCAAAAAATCGATGTTTTCTTTTGGCAAATCAAAACAATTAAAAAAATTTAAGACATTTAAAAATTCAGAAGTGTGAAGAGAATGTAATAAGAATGAATCAATTAGTATAAGCTTTTTATTAGCTCTTTATAGCTAAAAATAATTGAAGGTTTGCTGATGCTCTTTATAATCATTTTTAATATTACTTAGGATCTATATCTATATTTGTGCTATGCAACTTTTAGAATTCTAAAATTAATAAAAATATGAATTTTGAAGCTATTCAGAGATTGTGAGCTTTTTGAAGTGATAGTCTGTGCATAGCTTGAGTGGGGTAACTAAATTCAATAAATCCAATAGATCTAAATCCAATAAATCCAATAAATCTAAATCCAATAAATCCAATAAATCCAATAAATCCAATAAATCTAATAAATCTAATAAATCTAATAAATCTAATTGTTGCAGGCTATGCGCTCAGCAGGGTATAAACTAGATTTGATTGGGAATAGTACTATAAATAGTACTATAAAAGAAACTTAGACTTATAAAATATAATAATAGTATTACTATTTATAATAAAATTAAATTAATCTCTAAATATATATTATATTTAGAATATCTGAAAGTGGATATTAAAATAAATCCTTTTTACAGGGACATAAGCTCTTATTTTATGCTTTTTCCAACCCCCTATACATTCTATACTAATATACATATATACTATACTTGATTTAAAATCAGATTATAAATCAGATTTCAATCCTAATTATAAATCTAATTTTGATTTGAAATCAGAATTCTAATAAACAAAATTTATTATATCGTCTGTCAGACCGTATATAGACTAGCTAATATATTATATTTCAAATTTTTGAAAATAATGAATTACAGCTTTTTAATAAAGAGCTAATAAAGAATTCTTTTTCGAATAAAGAATTCTTTATTTAATATTATAATAGAATTATATTATGCATAAAGACTTATAAAGAAAATCTTATTTTTCTTATATTTTTAGACTTTTATAATTTTTATAATAATGATATATTATTTTTATTATTATTAGTTTCTTTAATGTTATAATAATATTAAGTGATTCAATTAATATTTATTAAAAACAACACTAATAAATCTGATAATCTTTTTAAATCACTTTTAAATCTTTTAAAATTCTTTATCTCTCGTATTATATCCCCTGAAACTTCGAAATAATTAAAATCATTTATTCAATTCTCTAAAAACTTCAAATTCTTAAAAACTTCAATTCAATCCTTTAATTAATTGTTCCTTGTATAAATAAAACAATTCATTAATAAACCAAACATATTATCAAAAAGCTCTTAATTTATTTAATAATTATATATCTTCAAATCTCATTTCAATTATCGGTTTCTTTTAGTCACTAATTCATTATACATTTTTAATAATATTAATATATTAGCCAAATGTATAGGGTATCTATGCTTTTTCTTAATCAATCAACTTCCAGCCATGAAATGTGTTTTCAATTGTATATTATTAGTAACAGTTTAATTAATTACCAGGTAAATACTAGGTACTCGCTTAAGTAGGTGGCGATCAGATAATTTTCACTAAGATTGTCTTTGAATCTATTTTAAGTCAAGTAGATACCGAGAGTAATATAATTTCAATTGATTTTAAAACTCTTTAGAATTAATTTAAACTTAAGCTTCCTATCATTCAATTAATACTTTATCTCTTAATTTAGTTATTTCTTCATTCAATATAATCTTTGATTCTTTTATGAATGTATTTTATTACCTATATTTAAAGAATAATGTACAAGTATCCTAAGATTCTCAGTTTCTATAACTCAAATTTCAAAATATCAAATCCTTTTTTACTTAATTAGTAAAGTAATTCATTTCAAAATAAAAGATTCTAATGTACTCCATCTAAACAAAGCTACACGCCTATCTTCTCCTCTCCCTTTTTTCGCTTTCTCAATATATAGTATATGATTACTTGATCTCATCTCTTATTTGATTTAATATGCCCTCCAGCCTCGCTTGTGATGACCAAGAAAGATGCGAATGTGATGGATGGTTGGATGGATGGATATTTGATGAGAAAGAGTTGTCTACGTCCGTAAGATTTGATAGATCACTTTTCACAATGAAGATATATATTCCTACTGGGTCGATAGTTAGTTCACAGTAAATGTTTACAAACATTATGATAGTATAAACATGGCAATGTGAAAAAGTATTGACTGGTAATATTTGGTGCCTTTCTAAAATCAAACCTTTATGCGCTTCATTTTGTCTCTCCTTATCCATCAAGAGTACTGACTGTAACAAATCAAAATGGATATCTATGTTTAACTCCACTCTAACCTTCCATACTCCATATCCATTGTTTGTATTTCATATCATCATAAAGACGATCACCCCTCACTCTTGCCCCGAACCCATGAATAGCTTTTTTCTAGTTCCTTTATTTCATCCCCTCAAATTGATAAAACCTTACTATTTCCACTCTACACCAAAACTTTCCCATATACGTGGAAACAGATCTCTGTCTTCGTAATCCTTGTAAATCATCCTTTGACATTTCTTAGTTTTGGTGTCTCTCTTCAACTTATCCACTTTAAAGGCTGCATCCCACTCTCGAATTGATTTCTGGACCTCAGCCTTTTGTTTTTGGACGCAACTTTCGTAATCGGAGGATGGTTTCTTCGCTGTGGCTGATTGTGTTTCTTGAAGACTGCGCACTGCTGATAACCACAAATTGAAAGGCTCTACACAAGTATTGGCATAACGGTTGTGAAAAGCCGACCCACGGTCATTCAAGATATTATAAACTTGATTCCCGCCAGTCTTGTCCGCGTCAAGTAGCAGTTTGATTTCGTTCTTTGGCACTCCATATACCGTTTCTAAAAGAATATCATAAACTTTAGGATAGTCATCGGCTAGCTTCATCACTGTTTCCAAATCAGTTTGATGTGCCAAGTGATTTCGTCTCTTTCTGGCGCTTTTCATCCACATTGGCTCAGGTATCTGCTGCTTGGGATCCTTTTTGGTACATGCAATTATCCACAGTTGCCTTCTCATGTTGGCCGTCTCTCCTTCATATCTTGACACCTTCTCTCTTTCTAATCTCTCTATCTTTCTCTCTATCTTTATCTTCTCTCTTTCTAATCCCTCTATCTTCATCTTCTCTATTTCCAAGCTCTCGATTGTTTGATCTAACACTCTTTTCGTCTCTTTTGTATCTGCTCTCATCTCTTCCAATGTTTCTTTGAATGTGAGGTTCTTTTTCTCGTGGAGGCTGGGATTGTTTGTGATTATCTTCTCGTGTGTGAGGGTATCTCTGTGGCCAACCAATTTCATCATATCTACTTGTTTCTTGACCTTTGGTTTGATTGATTCAACACAATCTTCTCCAAACAGTTTAATGTCTTCATCATTGAGAGAAATGCTTCCTAGGAGATGATAGATTGCATCTGTTTGTTTTCTTTGCTACAAATATTGTTAGCGAAGTATAACTTATGTGATCAGGATCGAACAGCAGAGTCGATCTTTGATAGATACAGAATCTTGAGGAGTTTGTGATTTGTAAGTGTCAAAGATCTTGGTGAGAGAACTATAAAAAGGTACGAACATGCTTAAGAATGTGTTCACTCTGTATATTGTGAAAGTGGTTGCCATGTAGTCTCCAGTTTATGGGCGATCCGAAAGTGAGTGTGCTTGAGATGAGTGGATTCCAAAGTTTTCGTCGGATCATTCTGTCAGTACAGAAATAGAGAAAACACTGGAGTCTAGAATGCACAATTTAGAAGGATATGATAATGGTGAGGTAGTAAGGTCTTTGTAATGATAGTGACGGTGATTGTAATGGTGATAAACGTAGGTGTTCCTGATAAAATGCTTGGGTTTGGTGTTCATTAGTGTGTTTGTATTCAAGGTAAATGTTGATCTATATCTTTCAAAACGCTCGAGCCATCTATAGGGCTGAACTTTTAGCTAAGGAGTACAGCTTATCAAACCACTTATCAAACCATGATAAACGAGCATGCATGTCATATATGATATACCCATGTATCTTCATTATGGCAGATACATTGATTTGTCTCAAGTCATGTATGCCTCTCTGTCGAGATTCCAATAAAAAGTCTACCAAGCCAATATCCAGTATGCAGATGCCATCCCCATCTACTGTGATAAGATTTCGAGCTATGGGGAGAGTGTGTGTCGTATTGCATCTAGAATCTAGATCATATTGTTTGCAATTTGCTCATCTTGTGTTTTGATATAACATTTCTGGTAATTCCAGGAATCCTGGTATAGAGTAAAGACTTAGCTATGCTAGTAGCACCGCTTTCTTAATTACTGCCTTGCCACAGTCTATCAGAGGCCCGCAGATTGCCTCCAGTACCTAGTTTTAAGAAGAGTGCTGTGGGGAGCTGCTATTTCAAGCATAAAATCGAACCTTTCAAATTCTTGATGAGCCCCCCTCATAGGGATATATGATTATGTAATACATGGAGTACAATTCAGTCTTGCTTAATTTTACGAAATCATAAATACAAGAATAAATAGGCATTAAAATTCAAGTCCAAGGAGTTATTCTATCTCGACTTTTGTGATTTCATTATGGGTTGGTTCAGTATGATATTACTTTCAAGATTTTCTCTAAGATTTTCGAGCTAAGCTAAGTAAGAATCACTTGACTGATATAAGCAGAAGACTTATACACTAATTCTCGATCAATTTGTTCCCTAGATTATTTCGTCTACCCTCACACAACATTCATTATGATTGAAATCATAATCATATAAGGAAAACGACTCCTTCTTTATCATAACCTCCTTGGAAACCTCGAGCTTTACATGTCTAAATTTGAATTGTAGTTCGTGTTCTGGAAGGCAACCTCCCAATTCTAACGAATATAGTTCTTTGTTGCACTTTATCACTTTTGGAAATCCGATAATCCTTCTTGTCATTATCATATTGCTGATGTATATTCATAATTCGGGCCGAATGTCACAAGAAGTCAAAAAAACATTGACACAACCACAAGCTAATACTGGAATACTAGCATCCGCAAGAGGGTGAGATATTCTCTCCAGCGCGGGACCATGATAACGACAGTACGTACACGATGTACCGTACCATGGCTGACTTTAGAGCAATGGCTGCGCCACCGCTGTCTAATTTGGATTTTGGCCCACCTCCACCTTATGTTCTCCGGAAAGATATGACTGAAGGGTCTGAAGACCTTTTACTAGCCCCGGGTCATATTTATTCTGACCCAGCTCCAAGTTACACTTTTCATCTTAAACGTGGCCAGGTGTTGCTTTATTGAACCAAACAGGAATCGTGTGTGTGCTATTACGTGCCACTGAGGCAACCATTCCATCATGAATTTATCAATATCTTATTATTGTTGGAATAACAGGTGGGGGTGAACGGGCAGCGCAATAGACTGGACTACCTAACTAAAACTCAATTTTCACAATCTGATAAAGGTACAACATTCAAAAGGCAGGCAAATCTCACTGATTTATACTTGTCGAAAGTTTAATCGGATCTAGAGATTGAAAGCTTCTGGTCGCCAGACGGCGGTTCGGACTATTGGAAACTCTTCTGTTAGTATGTCCATCTTTCAAGAGAATCTGATGACACTGTCAGATAAACACTTTACTCTCCAACCTCAGCCAAGGACTCCCTGATATAATACCCGTCGATCAAAAGATAGGCAACGCTTTCGAGTATCAACAATTAACTCCTGCCTTCTGGCTGCCAACCACGGTCGGCAAATCTATGTGTTTATGTGGGGCAGGCAGGAGGAGAACGTAGACTTGTCGCTAGAAAGACATTGATGTTCTCTTTTAGAATTTGAGGAACTTTATTATCTCGCTATTTAACTTGTTCTCGACAGGGTATTACATTGAAGATATACGTTCGGAAGTTGGAACGGCAAACAATTGCATAGACATTGAACTTGTGTAGTGGACGGGTGGAGAACAGCCAAGTCTTTTTTCGCACGACAAGCAAAGAGCTTCAATGGCACACTCCGTATAATTTATTAGGAGTGTATGAATACCCCACAATTCTCTCCTCATTTTTCCCCAAATGCCGTTCACAGGGAACGAATAGACTCGCGATATATTCATCCGAGGCCGAAAAAAACCCCTTCTATAGTAGCTAGTCGTCCACATCCACATCCACTTTCACGTATTCGTATCTCCATACCGATGGTGGTTGGATTTCACTTAGCTACATCACATAACTGTCAGAAAAGAATCCCTAACCACCTATTTCTTCACAGACATGTTTTTGTATCAGTGTAAGAACCTTCTTAAATGTCTCCTATATCAGGATCATTTCAAGTTCAAGCACATCATCTTCGTCTCCCCAGAAGCACGTGACCACACCCATTCCATGTTGGAGCAGGAGATTGAGTGATTCTGACTCGCAGATTCTATGGTTGATATTGTCATCATGAATTCGAGTATCGCTCACTACTTGACAACATGTTTGTTGATGATAACTCAGATTGCTACACTTGCGACAGGATTAAGACTTTCCTCTCATTCCCGAGATCTTCACAGGCATGTTGACAATCGAAATAAAGGTGAAAAATGCTAACCTTACACGCGAACAGTTCATCTACTTCTGTGACTAAGCCACTTAAGATAGGGCTGGCGACTGAACCAACTTTACCCCTGTCGAGTGGCGCCAAATTTGAGCTTACTCCATCGACACCAGTGGCCACGCTAGATTACGGCCATGAAGTCGCAGGTTATCCATACTTTGATGTGGAATCCATCAGTGGGAAAGTTCAAATTGAGGTTAAATACTCGGAAGAATTCAATGGTCTCGACACTAACTTCTCTGACGGACCATTTCCCTTTGCAATTGGTCTTTCGAATACGTATCGTGTTGAAACTTTTGAACTCACTGAGACTGGACCTTTCGAAGCATTTCTACTTCAAGGAGGACAAAGATGGCAATCAATCCGCCTCTTGACATCGGGAAGTGTAACGTTTTCAACCATTGGATTTACTGCGTCAGTATCGGATATAGATGTCAGTACATTGCCCGGTGGATTTGAATCCGACAATATCATGCTTAACGATATTTGGGCCCTTGGAGCTAGGGCATCATCGTTGGCCTGCATCGACCGCGGGACTCAGGGTTCCATGTGGGAATTCGATGTGAATGGTGCTCTTGTAAGGGGTATGAGACCAGGACTTACAATTAAGGGCGCATCGTTTCAGAATTACACGTTGGAGTTCAACACTATGATCAAAAGAGGCGGCATAGGCTGGGCAATTGGGGTTCCAATTGCTACACCCTTGGGCCTCCAACTGAACCTGATTGGGGAGCTACCCAAAAATACAACTTTTATCAATACGAACACCACACTTACTCCACCAAATTCCTTGATTCTCTCCTATGGTTACTCTTTAGTCAATGTCACGACACTTCCTTCTTACCGCCTAGATGTATTCAATACACCTCCCATAAAGGAGAACACCTGGTACACGGTGCGGACCATCCTTGATACTGCAGACAACCTTGCGGTATATATAGATGACGCAGAAATTTTCAATACTTCTTTGTCATCTTACTATGTTGGTGAAACACCAATACAGACAGCTGGCACCTTTGGATTCGGTGGCTGGCAAGATCAGGTTGGCTACATCAAAAATGTGACCGTTCGGGACACATTTAATCAGTCGCTCTTGTATAATAACACGATGATGATTGATACAGATTTGGTACTGACTGAATACGGCGTTCACTCTAATCTCCAAACAACGTGTCTAGATGGCGCGAAACGAGATCGCCTAGTATGGTTAGGCGACTTTTATCACACAAGCCGTATAATCCCGGTCACTACTTCTCGAAATGACCACTTAAAGGGGACTCTGAATACCTTTCTAGACTGGCAAATAGAAGATGGACTTTTACCATTTGCTCCGCCGATTGGTTACAATGCATCTGGCGCCAAGCAGACATTTGCCTTTGGTAGTGGTGCATCCGCCGGTCTTGAAATCTATGGTGTTGTCCTAGTTGATTACCAAATTCTTGGATTGATATCCTACTCCAATTATATTTCGTCAAGCAATGACCTTGAGTTTGCACATCAAACATGGTCAAATTGGCAACTTCTAGCAGATTGGTTGATCGCACAACTCAGTCCTGAAACAGGATTGCCCGTCTTTCTCTCTTCGTTCATTGGTCCGAGCCAAGGCTCCGCCGTCTCCTGTGCCCTCGTGCAAGCGTTGAGTCAGCTCGCGGAAGTGGCAACGGCTTTAAATGATTTGGCGTCGGCTACCAAGTATCAAACCGCGGCAACAAATTTATCCACTGCGGTCAACAAGCAGTTGTGGAACCCAGCCATCGGCGTTTATTCCCTTTCTGCAGCTTCGCCGGGCGATTATTCTATTGCGGCAATTGGATTCTGTATAACATCAGGCACAGCAAACACGACCCAAGCACTTCAATCGTTACAAGCTCTCGACGCCCTAAAGCTGGGGCCGGGATATAAAGATTCGACACAAGTCAATAGTTCGGATCTCAGCACAAATATTTCGCCTAACATAAATGGATTTTTGCTTGCAGCGATTATCTCACACAACGCAAGTAGCAAA